TCTCTCCACTTAAGAATGGGGAGTCTCTCCACTTAAGAATAGAGAGTCTCTCCACTTAAGTATAGGGAGTCTCTCCACTTAAGAATGGGGAGTCTCTCCACTTAAAAAAGGGAGTCTCTCCACTTAAGAATAGAGAGTCTCTCCACTTAAGTATAGGGAGTCTCTCCAAATACTTAAGAGAAGATGCAAAGCCTTATGGGAATTTCCAGCTCCCAGCGGTGACCTGAGATGGTTTCTGTTCATTCATTTCCAACGAGACAACCTTCTTTTTTTCTTTATTTGGTGGTTATTAAAAGGCATCAAAAGGAATGATTATGTAAGGGCTGCTGTATCTCAAAGTCGGGTCCAGTGATGGCATTATAGAAACATATACCGATTTTAGACAGCAGATTTAACTTCATTGTCCACAAGGCATATTTGAGTTGTTCGATGGCCTCCTTACATCAGGTCGATGGTCTGATGTTCCTTCTTTTTGTAGCGCCCTCCCTGCTCTCCTCGTGCACTAATGAAGCTCCGCCCCCTTCCTGCTCTCCTCGTGCACTAATGAAGCTCCGCCCCCTTCCCGCTCTCCTCGCGCACTAATGAAGCTCCGCCCCCTTCCTGATCTCCTCGTGCACTAATGAAGCTCCGCCCCCTTCCTGCTCTCCTCGTGCACTGATGAAGCTCCGCCCCCTTCCTGCTCTCCTCGCGCACTGATGCAGCTCCGCCTCTCCCCTGCACAGATTATACCCCAGGAGCCCGACAAGCAGGACGGCTATGTGCTGCTGTTGGTCCTCCTGTCCGTGTTCGTGGGCGGAGCGCTGGTTTTGCTCTCGGTCACGCTGATCGTGTGTCGTCACTGCTGCAAAGGAGGCCGCTGCTTTTCCAGGTCAGGCCCTGACATTTCTGCCTTTCAGCACCATGAACTATGACTTAAACAAAACAAAGTACCTGTGGTCATATGCATTAAGAAACATCATTCTTTCTAGTAATTGGAAACTTGTAATGAGCTTTTGGTGCAAAATGCACTGTTAATTTTTCCTTTTCAGGCATAACACGAAGCCGGCATTCTATATTTGTCTGCCTGTCCCATTTATTTGCCATTAAAGGGTCAGTTCATGCTATGGCCACATATCAGAAAGTCAGTCAGCAGCCGGACAGGGCGGAACAGTATCGACTGAGCAAATGACGAGCGTAATGAAATTTCATAGCAGCCTTCAGGGGTGATTAATCTGGTCCCGCAGAGGAATAAGGTCTGGCTGAGGCCAATAAAAACAGGGATGACAAAGGAGATAAAAGCACAGAGATGTGTGACCTAAAAACTGGCCGTGGCACTCCGGGACGGAAAACACCCAGGGGTTTTCAAGTGACCATACACTGGCATCTGGCTGCCACCGCTGCGGGCGGCAGCACGCGTGCCCGATCAAAAATAACTAAATGTACAATAACAGTCAAAAGTTTGGGCACGCCAAGTCTCCTACAAAGGAGAGTGATACTACCGCATCACATGACCTGGCCAGCTGACCTAAACACAATCAGGGGCGCCGTAAAGGGGGGGNGGGGGGGGTCAATTAGGATGATTCCTGAGTGACAGGGGCACAATAAAATTTGGAACATAATTGGATTGGTCTGGGTTGGGGTCCCAATATGATATGTCTTCATGGGGCCCAAAATCTCTAGTGGCGCCCCTGAAGACAGCAGAGATGGTTTTGGGGGGGTTTGAAAAAATGACCAATGAGAGCTCAGTATATGTGGGACCTCCTTCAGGGCAGCTGGAAAAGCATCCCAGGAGGCACCTCAAGGAACTGGCAAATTCTGTCCACAGGATATGAACTGGCAGCCTTCTAAGTCCCCAGAGCAACCCCAGGGTTGCAGGGGTCAGTACATGATCCATATATATTAATTTATAGTTTTGATGTCTTTATAACTATTCTAAAATGTAGAAAATAGTACAAACAAACTTTTCTATGGGTAGGTGTGTCCAAGCTATTCACTGGCACTGTAAAGATGCAACAATGGTTCTATATTAATTGTGCATGCAGCTTTTATTGTGGTAGATACAAGTTTTCATTCTGCTCCATTGTCATGCAGTGCATATGATGTTGCAGTTGTGAAACAGCCACTGACGTTTCCCCTCCATCTCCATGACCAGTAATGACTTGTAGCAAAGCCCTTATAATAAGCTTAAGAATGTCCTACATACGCTTTAATAATAGTTACGGTACCAAAGAGGCTGCATGAAACCACTATAAAACTGATCTGACCACCATTGGTGATCCTATACGCAGTTGGCTTGTTGACTGACAGAATATTGTTACATTTATTTATTTATGTATATCTATCTGTCTGTATTGACTTCCAGACTGTTGTGCTCTGAAAGGACTCTGATGTGTTACGTCTTTATGCCATTATGGCTTAATGGAAATTTTTAATTTCTAACCAGACTAATATCAAACTTAATTAAAAGCACTGAAATAAAAGCCTGTGGGTAATTCATGTGTTGCTCCAATGCAAACTGTTTTCCTCAAAGCTCTGCTTTACTGGCCCGTTAAGACTCATAATTGCCTCTGTCCCTGTTGCCTTCCATGACCAGTGATGATCCAGAGAAAACCAACGTGACGTACCAGGAGGAACCTCAGCCAGGACCGGGTAAAAGGGCACGTTGTCCCTGCCACCCTGCCCCCTGCCACCCTGCCCCCTGCCACCCTGCCCCCTGCCACCCTGCCAGCAGGTCCCAACAAGCAGTTAAACCGCCAAACGTCCATAACCAGACATTCCTGACAAACGCTGCTCCCTCTAAGGCACTGACATGCCAGCCAGGGGAAGTAATTCTTTCCTGCTGTGTGATGAAAACGTCGCTCCCTCCTATTTCCAGAAGGTAGCTTAATCTACATACAAAGGAAGCATTGGACAGTATGATGATATTCCCATTGTGTTCTTTGAATGGGAAAAATTAAAGTATTGCGAAATTATGATTACTTCTCTACTTACAATGCTCCATCCTATTTTGCAACATTTTGTTTTTCGCTTAAATTTTTTGCTTAATTCCGCCACCTGAGCTGGCAGCCCTACAGTAAATTCAAGGGGCAGTTCTACAAATCAGCACCCCCCCCCCCCCCTTCATAAATTAAGACACACCACATGGCGACTCCCAGTAGTCTGCTAGTACAGGGAGCCAAGCCACATTTCTGCATGTCAGAAAATGCTACCCACGGACAGACAGCTGAGGGACGATGACGTCAGATTGAAATTCACATGCAAATACCTTTGTGCGGAAGAAATGTCACTCTTATGTAACTTTGGGCTGAGTAGGTGTTCCGCTTACATAACTTAAAAGATGCATCGCGTTCTTTATTATGAACCCATTCATCCTTCCATTCATTTCAGTTCCAGTTCAATTTATTTTAATATAGCGCCTTGCAAAACACTGTCACCCCAATGCACTTGATAAGCAGTCGGTTATTACATCGTTTGTACAAAATGGTGGATGAAACAGGGAGGAAGGGAAAGAAAGAATGCCAGAAGACAAGGAGGAGAGGAACCTAAAAAGCTTCTAGGGGTAAATCCATCCATCCATCCATCTCCTAACCGCTTTTTTCTGGTCGGTCATAATTTTCATCATTTTGATTAATTGATTGTTCACCAAATGAAGGGACACTGAACCTCCCTGCAGCTGTACATTTGCCCCCGTCTCTCGCAGAGATCACCATCCAGGTGGACGAGGCCGAATGCCTGTCCATCTCCAGCTGCCACGATGTGGAGACGGAGCGTTTCCTCTCGACCGGGACCACCGGGCGGCGCGTCTCCTTCAACGAGGCGGCACTCTTCGACCACGGCAAGAAGACGCAGGAGAAAGGCCGCAGGTCAGCCTCACGCTCCGGGTGATGCGGCTCCCCCGTCAGGCCGCTTTCTAAACTGCAGATGTTAAGCTCAATCTTACAAACTGTGTTTGAAACGGTTTCCCACACGACGATAGACAGATAGATAGATAGATAGATTAGTAATTAAAACTTACAAATTAGAAATTAAATCTTACTGTGAATACAAGGAATACAAATGGGCAAAAAGCTGCAATGTGCCAGCAGTTCTGTACAATAATAATTTACCCCAAATGCAACAATGTAGCAAAAATTCTGCAAGGATGGGGTGTATCATTTACAAACTCCCGAAAATGATTCTGTGTCTGATGTGATTGGGTGGTTCTGCCGCCAATCACAGGTACACCCTTACTGAAGGGGACTTCCATCACCTGAAAAACGCCCGACTGACGCACCTGCAGCTCCCGGCATCCGCCCTGAAGATCGTCACCATCCACGAGTGCGAGTCGTCTGACAACAGCATCGCAATGGCCACGTGCCCTCCCGTGAAATCCAGCCTCTCCATCTTCCGGGTAACACCCGGAGCGTGCGCTCCGTCTCGCTCTGAAGATGGTGCCCGTTCCCACTCCGAATGATTATAAATAACTAACATATTCAGACATGCATAATGTATTGGAGAATAAAAAAATAGTCGGGTATATTAATTACATATTGTCGGGTATATTAATTACATTGGTTGACATTACATTGGTGTGTGGGGGGGGGAGCATGTATATATTATGCTGTGGGGTCCATATGTCCCCATAATGTGATAAAACTTATTTATCAAGGGAAAACTCATTTTTATAAAAAAATTGTTACTGCAAAAACTAAAAAAAGTCTTGACTTAAAAAGTCTCATATTTTGTTTGATTACTTATGGTTAAGGTTAAGGCAGGGTTGGGGTTAAGGTCATCATTGTTGGGATTAGGGTTTTACCCATAAAAATTAATGGATAGTCCCCACAAAGATACGAGTACAAATATGTGTATGTGTCTGTGTGTGTGTGTGTGTGTGTGTGTGTGTGTGTGTCCTGCAGCCGCCAGTGTGTGCACTTCCACAGACGGCCTTGACGGGCCTGACCATCAGCCTGAGCTCCCCCCTCCCTGGAGACACGCTCAACTCGATGGTGGACACCAGCTTCAGTCAGGGCCCCCCGTCCGCCGGCTCGGAGGCCCCTTGCTCTGGCGCTGTGAGTCACCCGGCGTGGGGGGGGGGGGAACATGTGACGAGTGGGCAGTGTGTGTGGGAGTAGCGTGTGGGCTGGGTCATTGGGCGTCAAAGGTTTGAATAGCGAGGAAGGAAAACTTCTTGGAAGCTGGTGAAGACAGAGTGGAGCGGATTTGACTGCCTCCATGGCGCATTGTCACCTTTACCTTGTGGGTTCTCACCTCAGCCTTGGGAAACAGGCTCCCTTTGTGCCAGACCTGAAAGGCGATGAATAGCTGTATTCACGTCAGCTGAACTGTCCCTGACAGCGCCGGCCCCCGCTAACGCAGCCTTCCGGCCGCCCCCATTCTTCCCACAGATTGAGGCGATGGGAGCCGCACCCTGGACTGCCAACAGCCTGGGCATCGCCGGAGACGGGGCCCCGGCCCCTGGCACCCCCCCGCCTGGCGGCTCCGGTCAGGGCCACATGCTGCAGTTCTTCACCAAGCTGCGCCGCCACGCCAGTCTAGAGGGCTCCAGTCCCTACTTCAAGATCAAGAGGTGGAAACTGGACAGCAGCCAGAGAGCCTCCAGCCTGGACACCAGGGGTGAGTGCTCTGCCCCCCAGCCCCGGCCTGCCCCCCCCTCACGCCCCGCTCACCGAGGTCTCAGACTCCCAGAGATCCGGCGCTGACGCTGTGCCCCTCCCAATTAACTCGCATCCATCCCCAGAGGGCGTGTTATTCCCCCAGTCACGCTCGCGCCGCAGACATCCCAGCATGCTCTGCTTCTCCATTTGATATTGCATTTTGAAGTGTGGCCAGAAACACAAACGCCGCATGCAGCATACTGTAACGGAACTAGCTGCACTCGCCAGCGCTCTAGAGCACAGACATTATATATTAAACATCTCAGGTTTATTTTTACACTTTACTGGTGATCTATAAAATCAACTTACTAACGACACAAATAAAACTACAAAAATGAATTTAAATCATAGGAAAACTTACTACTAAGTTGTCCCCTTATTATTACCTCACCATTGCTAGTTAGTTACACTAGTTAGTTACCCGTGCCCGTTGGCATGAGGATGACCTAACAATTAAACAACTGCAACAAATAGTGATGCTATAATGGCTACATTACGAAGTCACACAATGGAAGTTTTAACAATGCACAATCAAACAATTAGAAGGATAAATAGATACATTCACCCCCGGCAAACGCATTCTCAAAAGCTCAGGAAGGGTCATTTTTCCCGGAGATCGGCTCTTGGGTTTGAGAACAGTGGCTTAAAAGGCTGATCATGTTACAGTATCCGCAGTGCTCCCGTCATGGTGAATGGCGTGAATCAGGGGTCCAAGGTAGGTTATAATTCATATTCCAAAGCAATCAGTCCACCTTAGGCTCTCCCAGAGTCCCCTGTGTCATTAGCAAACTGTGCCACTGGGTGAGTATTAATGACCTTTGAGGCAGAGGTGGAGCCTTTGGAAATGAATGTGGGATGAATGATTTACGGATATTTAGATGATTGGATCTACAATGGCATTAGACCTCTGGTCTCATCACCTTCATTAAGTTTCCCCTCTTCCATTCTTCCTCCCTCGTAGGCGATCAATGACGTTAATTCCAAATCAATGACAATCGCATTATCGGGAGGGCTCTCTGGCAGCTGGAAGGTGGAGAGAACCTAATTTAGCAATTCATTACATCGTTCGACATGGCATCCCCTAAACATTGTGTCTGGGGCTGACTGGCATCTCGTCCTCGAATGACGATGGGAAAAACTCTGTGTGTGTCTGTGTATGTGTGGTCATGTATATATTACACTGTGGGGACACAGTGTAAAAATCTATTATTTTGATACTGGTGGGACCATTTTCATAAAAATCTGTGAATGCAATCAAAAAACCAAAAAAGGCTCATATTTTGTTTGGTTACTTATGGTTAGGGTTTGGGCTGGGTTGGGGTTAAGGTTGTCATTTTTGGGATTAGGGTTATGCACATAGAAATGAGTGGAAAGTTGCCATAAATATATGAATATGTGGACTGTGTGTGTGCGTGTGTGTGTGCGTGTGTGTGTGTGTGTGTGTGTGTGTGTGCGTGTGTGTATGTGTGTGTGTGCGAGCGGGTTTACCTATCCTTATGGGGACACAATGTCCCCATAACGTGATAAATATCCATTTTTTTCCCCTTATGGGGACCGGTTTCCTGGTCCCCATAAGGGAAAACTCTATTTTATAAAAATCGGTGACTGCTATGAAAAAACTAAAAATGCAAAAACTCTTGTNGCTATGAAAAAACTAAAAATGCAAAAACTCTTGTATTTTGTTAGGTTATTTATGGTTAGAGTTAGGGCAGGGTAGGGGTTAAGGTTGTCATAGTTAGCGTTAGCATTTTTCCCATTGAAATGAATGAGCGGTCCCCATAAGGATATGTTTACCCTACATGTGCGTGTGTGCGTGTGTGTGTGTGTGGTAGGACACAGATGGTGACACATGTGACCTCACCCTTAGCACTGTCCCACTGGCCATGTTCACCACTTACATGGACGGAGGTGTGTCACTCTCTTCCCCCAAAAGTGCACCAATTGGATGATGTTGAGTGCATATTTCCGTCTTTAGCAGAATGCCAAATGATACAAAGCGTGTCAGTGACCTCGTTTTCACCTATTTCTGTTGTTTCACCCATTTTCATTCACTGAAACGACAGATTCACAAATAGACACTTTTTGGGGGAAAAAAACACTCTTGGCACGAACATCATAAGCATATTTTTTCCTAACCTTTTGAATCCCATTAGAATGTTCGGCGTGGCACTGTATGAAAGCAGTCCCCTACTGAATTCCCCGTTAACATATAAATCCATATCTAAAATTAAAAGCAGTCAGCTAACGAAAGCCCTACTTTATAAGACTTCGCGGAAAGGCTGCTCCATTTAAGGTCATTTCCAAGCCTGGGCTGCTTCTGACAGTCTGATCACTACCATCATCAATCATAGCAGAAGTATTACTGTCCCTTAGCTGGGCAATTGTGTTAATTTCCAAAGATGAAATCAAAACATATTTTTAAATGATTATTTATTTGTTTCTTTCTTTGTTTATTTTGCTTTTCATGGAATGCTGTAAACGGCGATGGGTTGGCGTCCCGCGCTAGGCTGTTCGCTGGCTTGCGCTTATAGATTCCGGGATAAGTTCCAGACCGACCGAAACCAAGTGCGGCCCTCCATTCCAAATCCAGGCCTTGTTTTCAGTTCTCCCGAGTAGCTAGTTTAATAATGACTGATTCTGATTGGTCAGAGGCTTCACACCTGACTCACAGGTAAAGGAAGGCTGGAAAACCAGCAGTGCTCAGTCCTGGAGGACCGTGATTTGAGTAGCTCTGCGGTATAATTCAAATATATATAATAAAAGCTTGGTCTTAATTGGCTGCAGTTGGGTTTATTAGTCCAACTGGGTGAATAAATGAATAAAAATAAACATGTCGCTCTCGACACAGCACTTCCTTCTGTGGTGCACACACGGTTGAGTCAATCGCCATAATGACGCCGCTACATTTTATTCTACATATATTTTCCATAAATTCCCGGTGTGGAATTACGAGAGTGTAATAAAGAGACCCTCCCGTGGCTTCATAAGTGCAATTCATTCAAAACTGGAGGAGGAATTCAGAACATATGGATTAAAAGGGCGCGCGGAGCTGCGAAAGGCAAACTGTAGATGGTGCTTCACGACGCTGTCAGGCCCACACTTCAGATTAACTGCAAATACATTCTTGTGAGCAAGTGCTAATGAGCAGAATGGAGCGGGGCGACGCCGAACAGCAAGACGAGTGCGAAATGCGCTAAAAATACTGCAGTCAAAATGCTGGGGCTAAAACTACCCGTCAATGTACTTTTTTCTGCTCTGTAACGACAAGCAGGAGTGACGATTGCGGATCGATACTTGATGCATGACTTGCAATCGGCGCCAAGTTTCCCTTAAGTCAACACCGCGGTGTGTCTGCTCAGAGTGGCTGGTGATGCAGAATCCTCTGCGAATCACGCTACACTAGTCATTCGTGTCAGACGTCGATGCTGAAGATCGCTGACTTGTGAGAGCCTGGACTCGAGCTTCCGTCGGCCCCGCAGCTTAGCCTAGATGCTAGCTTGGCTCTGCTCGCGGCACAGAGCCCCTTGCATTGCCGCTATACCGTAGCACGTGATTTCGCTTCATGTGCTTGGCTGTGTCGTCCCCAACCGACACCGATGAAGACATTGGGCCCGGTGCCTGAGCCCTTGCTCAGACAGATGGTCCTATGACGCAGGGCTCTTCCCCTCCAAATCTATCTGGGCATCTCCCCAGATCACTGCAGACTCTCCACTGTCACGCCGGACCACACAGCACATGGAGGAGAGCAAAGACCATTGTAGATGGGTCCCGGGGCATCTACCGTTGCATCAGAGGCATGCCTTTATAAAGCATCTGATCTTTCATACTTGCAACTGCATATATTTCCATGTGATATATCCACAGTAGTATGCCTTATGTTGTATTATGGCCCTATGATTTTTTTTTTTTTTTGGATTCTGAAAAGCCCATTCAGAGCAATAAGGAGAAGCTTGCATTAGCTGATATTAGCAAAAAATATTAGACATATTTAAGTGTATTAGACAGGATGCTAATGTATACAAAGAAACCCAGCCTAATTACTATATATAAAACTCGTATTGAACAATACATTCAGTCACATTTAGATACAGTCCACTATTTATGATATGGCAAGTCGAGATCAGAAAGAAAATGGCCAAAAGTTGGGGTGCATTTCCAGTATTGCTTGATGAAAAACTTGTCGCTTATGGTGACTGATTAATATATCCACCCAACTCTCCATCACACTGGATGTAACGCTCTTACATAGATGTAGTTCCTTCATTTGGTAATAAAAGTCCTTGAAACTCATTTATCACTCAAGGATTTTTGTATGTTCCTTAAACAATAAAAGTTTCTGTTTTGTGTGTTTTATTTGTCTATATTAATGCTGTTTAATAGTTAAAGATAAACAAAATGAGTCTTCATGGATGTTGAACAGCTAGTAGTATCTGACCCCTTCGCATAATTGTCTGCGAAAAGCAATATAATTCACCGTGAAAAATGGCATTCGGCATAAAAGTGTGTTCAGTGGGATCGTTTTACTTGCTGTGTCTTCAGTTTCACTGAGTTTAATCAATTTGTCATCGGAACATTTTGAAAAAGAAATGTTTTTTGACCAAAAAAACAAAAGTTTTCGTTAGTTGTTGCAGGCAGTCTTGCTGTTTCGGTGTTTCACTGTCACACGTTAATTCTCCCTGGGGGCTTTAGAAGAAGAACACAGACCTTCTTGGCGGGCTTCCCAAAGTGGGGCTTACCGCTGTCACCATGTCCCCTAGGGTCCCCGAAGCGGAGACACTTCCAGCGACAGCGTGCCGCCAGCGAGAGCATGGACCAGGAGGAGCACGAGAGCCATCGTGCCGACATCATCCAGTACATAGCGCGCAGGCATGACCCCGCCTACTGCTGTGGAGTCCCCGCCCCCAGCTTCCTGTCCCCGCCCTCCAACCCGCCTCCCTCCCTCGGCAGGTATCTTTAATTCCTTTGGCACTCATCCACTTCGCCACATCTCCACGGCTCCTCGTGAAGGCCCCATCCCGCCCCCCATTGTCCAAGGACACATCCCGCACTGCACGTTTCGCATTCAGCATGCTAACTTTAAAAGAAGCCGCCGCATGTGCAGCGAAAGCGTCGCATTCTTCACTTTATATAATGGGGATCTTACACAGTCGATACTGAGGCAACAGTTCTTCATTCCGGCGGCTCAGCAACAAAAGTCACAGTAGAAGGTTAATAATGTCCTTCAGTTTATTTTCTCATAAAAATGCCAAACCGGCGGCCTTCAAGATTAGTTAGTAATTAGTTCAAGTTTAGTAATTAGTTCAAGTTTAGTTAGTAATGGCTCCAGAGTTGCAGTGTGGGGTTGATCATGGGGCGGGGCACCAGTGGCCCCGCCCACTGCCGTTTGCCTGAGATGGAGACCTCTGTCGGGGCTGCACGGTGTAAGCATTGGTTATCACCCTTCGATTGTAAGAATCGGACCCCCTGCCTCTTTGCACATGGAAGAAATCTTACAGACAGCCAAGACAAAAAAAAAATCAGAGAGAATGTCCTTCCCAAGCACATTTTTAGCTTGCGGTCCTGGCATGCAGCATTTAAACGGCTGAAGACTGTAACATATTTAAATATTGTATGAAAGACGCTAAATAATTCAGTGAGAAAGTTACAATCTTGTCATAAAACTTAGAATTGTGGAGTGGCAGTGAATTGTTTCTTTACCTAACACATGTTCAGTTAGTAGTAGTGCTTAGGAAGATATACAAAGTTAATAAATCAATACTTTACATTAAATAACATGAAAAATGTAAGTAGGTCTTTTTTAAGTGTGGTATAAAGGGATGTTTAGGGATATAAAGCTGTAAGTTTGAGGTGGCACGGTGGTTCATTTGGTAGCGCCATTACCTCACACCACCAAGTGTGAGGATTTCACTTTCCATCTTCTTCCCATGGAACGGTATCCCATCCAGGCTGACCCCTGTTCTGGGATTGATTGTATACTCCGTGTGACCATGATTGGAAAATGCATGGCAGGCAAAAGGCTGTGTTTGCTTAGAATGCATGTGACATGAGCATGGTTTGGATGTGTAACCCTTAAATCCATATCACAACATCTATTCTTGTGAACCATATCACTGTTATAGTTTTACTCTCAGCATATGAGAACACGCTCGGATCTCCACTCTAACATTGGTGCGACACGCTGCGCCCCCTGCAGGTTAGAGGTTGAGGTGATGGTGGAGCCCAGCTGTAGTGGAGGGAGAGGAGTGATCGGCGCCTCCCCGGAACCTCAGGAGGAGGGGGCGGAGGCGGGTGCAGCCTGGCGGCTGGAGAGCATGGAGCCCCAGATGCTTTACCGCGACATCTGGACCCTGCGGGCTTCGCTGGAGCAGTACGCCTCATCCGACCAGAGCAGCAACAATGACAAGGATTCTGTGCGGAGCGACGCCGACAGCGTCTGCTCGCTGGGGGGCGGCTCCGAGAGGCGGGGGCTGCCCAGCTACCCCTCGCAAGACGTTGGGGATGAGCTGGAGGGGGATGTGGAGGTGTGCGGCGAGGAGGCCCAAGGCAGGGGGGGTAAGCAGGACAGTGTGGACTCAGAAAGAGGGAGTGATGGGGAGTCAGGGAACCGGAAGCTGCTTCAGATGGACAGCGGGTATGCCTCCATCGAAGCTCCCTGCAAGGCCCCGGAGGAGCTGCGGCTGTTCGGCAGTTTGGGCAGCCCCAAGGACAAAACGGCGTCCGAGAAGCGGCGGTTCTTCACCAGCGCTGGGCGCAAGGGCACCGTGTGTGAGAGTTTCGAGGCCAGCCTGGAGGAGGAGACAGAGGACGAGGCCGAGAGCCCCATGGGCTGGTCGCCGTACGGCCAGATGTTCACCTCGCGGGAGCCGGCGCAGCGCCTCCGGCGGCGGGACTACAGCATCGACGAGAAGACGGACGCGCTCTTCCACGAGTTCCTCCGGCACGACCCCCAGTTCGACCAGCAGGAGTCGCCGCTGCGATCTAAGCACCGCTCCCGCGTGCACCTGCGCAAGCAGTGGCAGCGCTCCAAGCAGTACAGCGACCCCGGCGTACGCTTGGCGCTGCCCCTCGACCGCCAGCGCAGCCCGCTCCGCCGCGGCGACAGCGTCAACTACCCGCTCGACACGTGCTACCATAGCACGCTGCCGCGCATCGTCAGCGCCCCCGACGAGGAGGCCAGCGAGGGCGCGTCCAGCGCCGGCGAGCCTGAGTGGGCGGAGCCTGAGGAGGGCAGGCGCAAGGTCAGTCCAAGCAGCAGCGGCAGCAGCCGGACCATCAAGGAAGAAGAGGACCGGTTATCCTGCTCGCCTCCTCCTGGTACCGACGGCGCACTGGAGCAGCCCGAGGATGGGCGGCAGCCCAAGCACCCCCCCGAGCCACCTGACGAGCGGCTGGCCCCGCCCCCTCCCAGCTACGGGCCGCAGACCATCACGGCCGAGCTGACTGATAAGCTCACTGCCAATCTAGAGGAGAGGCTATACACCAGCCTCCGCAAAGCCAAGGACAGCCCCGAGTGCATGGTGGCCGTCACGCGCGCCTCTCCTGACCACAGCCCAGTGTAGCGGGACTCTGCTTTCCCCTCCAGCTGCTCCTCACAGATTCTTCAATGTTAATTCCACTCTCTGGCTGTCCGGCGTCCCCCCCTAGATGAAAGATGACCAGTTGGAACAATCCAGAAACCTACTCGTGTCTTATGTTTCTTTAATTCTTTTTTTTGTTTCTTTTACTGCTGTATGCCTTTTCCCAGTGTGGTAAGTGAAAACTTAAGGAACGTACGTGCCCTGTGTACTATTCATTCCACTGTGAAATCGGGTGCTATTCGAATTGGGTCGGACCACTGCGGTGAGGAGGTGTGACCTACTGACAGACGCCTGGGCTAGATTGTCAGTGCTGTGTTGCAGGTGGTCTTAAGGGCCACTATAGCTTAGCTTATGGTAACAATTCAGTTTAGGGTCGATGCTCAACATAGCCATTGAAAAGGGCTTATTATTAATAAATAATATAAGTATTTAAGGACTTATAAATGAATATTAACTAATTCATAGATCTATTTTTTTTTCTTAAAATATTCTACTTATACATTGACCATATAGAATAAGGTTTAACATGTTATTTTTAATTAAGACCCCTTTTAAGAATTTGTATCAAACCTATATGAAATAGAGCTATTGGCACTTCATTCATTAACTATTTTTGTCGCGTTAAACCCATTTTAAGACAAGTCAGTAAGGATTTATTTTGCTTCGTATTTATATATAATTTCAGAGGGCACTGGAACAGACAATCACAAAAAGGGTTTATTGAGAAATTATTACACTGTATCTAAATCATATGCCTTTTATTTGACAATACATCTTTCCATTTAATTTTACGGGCAGCTTATATGTACAGATCCACTCCCCAGTCCCATACCATCTGTTGTCTAGGAGGTATTACGTAAAAAGATTAGCTTATTAGCGGAGTGTAGAAAAAGAGCGTTTGGACAATTGCATCCATCCATCTCTTCACGCGCGGTGAAAGTGCTCCGACTGTGTCGTTTTTGTCCCCCTCTGCGGTCAGTGGGAGGGTCACTCTGCAGGGTGAGCACTAGTGAATAACACATTACTGCAGCCGTGGGCACTAGAGCATGTGTGGCATTGTATTTTATCACAGCGCATTTTAGACAAGCCCGTATTACATTTATGTACGTTATGCGGGGGGGGGGGGGGGGGGG